ATTCATTTTCCATAGCCACTTTTGAGGTCTATTCCAGGAATCACAAGGCACTCCTTGGATGGGATGCCAGCTCAAAAAAGGAGACGGGCCTAATCAAAAGACGCTAATTCACCTAAAGTGCATGTATTTGGACTGTAGGAGGTAACTGGAGTGCTCAGAGGAGACCAGAGGCAGTATATGTGAGCTACAAACATACAGAGCCAAGGCTGGAATCGTACCCACCTCACTGCAGACACAACACCACAATACTAAGTACTGCCTCCCCTCCTGCACCCCGAGTGCCTGCCTCCCCTCCCCTCCCGCACCCCGAGTGCCTGCCTCCCCTCCCGCACCCCGAGTGCCTGCCTCCCCTCCCGCACCCCGAGTGCCTGCCTCCCCTCCAAATATTTTGAACACAGACATGCGTTACTGTATCCCAGCTGTTAGTACACAGAGACATTACAACTCTGGATATCTGGTGTGCTGATTTAGGGGTAATACCTAGTGCTGTATGGTGCAGACACAGCTACTCTGGTGCAGGAGGCTACAGGAGGATCTGCAATTTGAGCCCAGTGCCTGTAATGGAAGCAGTATGGGAAATGAAACAGGCAAGGGGGCATCCTTCATACTGTAATACGCCCATCAGGACAAGCTGCATTCAGCAGCCTACCCACTGAGCAGTGTTATTTCTGAATTTAATGCAACCAGTCTTCATGTTTTTTCCACTGCCAAGAAAATGTGCAAAGAAAAAGCAATGTAATCAAAATAAGATGTGCAATTAAATCATATTAATAATATCAAGGTAGACATGGCTGCTGAGGTACCATTGCAGGAAACAGCAGGTATTTCTGTGAATCAGACACATGGAGGATTCGATGCTAATCCACTTACCAATCTGATGTGTTTAGGTAATACATCAAGATGATAATTGTGTGATCTAACACAGCCCCTAATAAAATAGGATGACCTCTCTGCCTTGTCATTAACTGGCAACACAAACAGTTAACAACACTAATGGTATAATCTGAGGGGCCTGGCATATGTACTGTGGACAAATAAAATGACCTGACACACATATGCTTAATTACCCAAACAAGAGTAACGACTTGATAGGTTCATCACAAATCCACAGAGATGAGTAACGTCGGCTGAAATGTCTCTGGTACGGACATTTTAGTCTTAGTGTGACTGACATGTTTACTGTATCCTCACTGGCTGAGGAATTGCTTGTTGACAAATAAGCAAGCTATGAGCTATGGTTGGCCTGGGAGTAGAATTCAGGTAGGAAAAAAACTAGGTAAAAATTCTACCCTAACTGAAAGTCATGCATGTATAAATCCAGCGTGAAAAAGAATCCATCCTTCATGGTTGCACCCCTCGTTTCCCTTTAGAATGTAAGGTTATAGACGGATAGCCCTGCAATGCCACCATTGGCTATTTTTATCTTTATCTGAAAATGACATTGTCTGGCAGCAAGAGCAACATGGAGCAACAATGTTGTTCAAATGTTAAACTGCATTTTCTAGTATACCGTTTGAAAAGTATAAAGGCTTCAGCTGTGTACTGATGCTTTTATGGCTACAATAGAGCCCTGAACGAAATGCTTGAACTCTCATTCCATTAGGTGACTGAACGCTCACACGAGTCCAAGATACTGTGAAGCCAGCCCCCCTGTCCCTAAGAGTCAGAGTGTACACTGCTCTAGATAAGAATATCTACTTTATTATGGCATACAATTAATGAACTGCTTTTTAATGACTGGTCTATTTATAGATCCATATGTCAGTAAATCTGCAAAGCTTGCATTATATGTAGCAATTTCAGAGATTTTAGAAACCTTAATAATCAATTCATTTGTTGATGTTACAAGCGACCATCCTGTACAGGGTCATGGGGGGTGTCGTATATGTTTCAGGGCAGGGTTACACCTTGCATGGAGATGCCAGTCTGTCACAGGGCACAGGGTAGGGGTATACCCTGGATTTGATGCCAGTGCATTGTAGGGCAAACACATGCATAAGCATTAAATTAAATCATTCATCCACCCATCATTCATCCATCCATCCATCCATAAGTCCATCCATCTGTCAGTCTTATCCTGGTCAGGGTTGCGGGGGGGCTGGGGTTCACCCTAATGTGCAGCCTTCTACAGGGCACATACATGTGCATGCATCAAAATAAAATGACAGGTAAATGTAGCCTAAATCATTTCAAATGTTGCTAATTGCACCCTCTCCTCATTTGCTCATTAAGCGATCAAGTTCCATCCCAGCGAGCAGGTCGGGACCATAGTTACAGTTGAGATATATATATATATATATATATATATATATATATATATATATATATATATTTTACCATCATATTTGAGAATCATTGCTAACAGCGGTAGTCGCTAAACGAGGAGAGAGTGTACAACACTTACCTAGATACATGTATAATGATACGATTTGACCCAGGACACACCAGAAGGGTTACATATACCCACTAGTCTGTAAAATCGGTATGCTCGGAAAGAGAAGTCTGATCTTCTTCCCCATGAAAAGCCATGAGAAGATAAAGATGTTTACACAACTTGCATTATTAAAATGTAATTCATGAATGGCCATCCCTACGATAACAGATGTCTTAGGAAATATATTTAAAAGATATAGACACATCATACCATATGGTATACGCTCCAGTGAGAACAGCACAAACCCCTTTGATCTCCCCCTTTGTGGAGAGCTCAGAATGTTCTCAGGAATATAGTGGGTACAATTACAAAGTACACCTTAAATTATACATTAGAGATGCACGCACAAATATGTGGCGTATGGTACTTCAGTTCTTACTAACAATGCTGAAGCTTTCATGCTCACTTCATTTTAAAAATAAAACAAGTGTTTCTCAGTCTGTTACATAATAGGAATACATATAATTCAGCAAGGATAATGCAGGAATTAAGATCTCTAATTAACGGGCTAAAAGGGTGAGGAAGGGGTACACGACCATGTACTACAGTACGAATAACAGCTTCTAGAACATCATAGAAGAACTGGAGCTAAAATATTCAGCTAATTTAATAATCCAGCCTTTAAAGGGCTTTAATACACATAGTGGAGAGTCTCAAGGAAACTGTTCTTTGACCACTGTAGAAACAAAAGATCTTATTAAACAAAGCAGATCTAAAATTTAGGTCAGAGGGAATGAAAGATGTCACGTTCTGGCAGCTCTCGTCTCAGCACTTGAGAGAATGAAGAAGCGCTTCTGGGCGACATCACTGAGAAGGAGGAGCGCGGAGTGGCAGGCGGCTCTGTGCAGTGATACCAGCACACTGCTGCCTTTCTGCTTCACTGCTGGTGCAGTGCAATTCGATCCATGATTCTGTGAAGCGGTCTAGTCTATGAGATAACAACTTGCAAATGCTGTATTAATGAATGCATTGTGCTCACGCACGGGAGCATGTTTCTTTGCGTCTGAGTTAATTTATACGCTAAATTATTCATGTAGCTGTGCTTTTAAGGTAAGTGAGGCTCAACATTTCGAGTATGCCTCACCGAACTGGCATTAACGTACAGGATGGGAGATGGCAGGAAGGCATAGATGTTTCCAGATGTTTTTTTACCTATTTATTTTCTAAGCATTATCTCGGACTGGAGCCAAAAAAGGCAGAGATAGAGAGTTAGTGAGGAGATGCTGAGATAAACGCTGTTGATGGTCTTTGCTTTATGAAAACCTTTGACCTCAGAGGCTGCCTAGGACTGCTCTGTGCTGCTAAGCAGCAGAAGGGGTTTTCCGGGTGGGGGGGGAGTCAATAGGAGGCCGTGAGGGAGTGCCAGAAGCAGGTTGGCAGGAGGCGGCGCCGACGCACGCTTCCTCACACCACTCTCTCTCTTCCTCTCGGCCGGTGCGCCTCCTCCATGAGGGCGCCTCCCCAGCGCTGAGGGCAGAGCGTCCTGAGGAGTGCACAGGAGCAGGGGAGTGCTCCTCCTCAACGAGCGGAGCGCTGACACTCTCAGCCCAGCTGGCAGGAGCGACCGCGAAGAGCCGGTCTGCGGCAGGCTCTCCTGCCGACACGCACACACACATACACACGCGCAAGAGAGCGTGAGCTGGAGCCCACGCACGCACACACGCACACACACACGCATCACTCCCCCTCCCAGTCCAGGGGCTGGGAATTTCAAAGAAGCAGAGAAGCACACAGTGGTGGCACAGCGTTCCGGAGGATTGCTCTCTGAGGAGCCTCCCGCGCTCTGCTTCAGCTTCAGGGAACGCCGCGGGGCAGGAGCTCCCCCCTGCTTCACTACCGGACCTTCGTTCGTGCCTTGGGGCGGGGGTGGGGGGGGCCGATGCCGTTTGGACACGTCGACCAGCTCGCTCTTCTCGTCTTAGTCACGCCTCGCGTTCGGCAAGGCTGAAGGAGCGCAGAGGAGGGGAGAGGCGGGCCGGCATTTTATTTCCACCCGGAGTTCTGCCACGGGCTGAGACGCGGGATCGGATGGCCCAGCAAGGGGCAGCGGCCCACCAGGACATGCTGGCGGTGCCGCCCATGGAGAGGCACACGGGGCTGAACGAGGACCTGGTGAAGATCCTGCGGGAGAACCTGCTGCAGCAGCAGAGGCCGCGGGCCGCCCGCCGGTCGCCGTCGTCCATCTCGCCCCGACTGTCCCCCACCACCATGTCGCCCCGCAACTCGCCACGGCTGCTGCGCCGCATGCTGCTCAGCAACGGCACGCACAAGCAGCGGCGCTTCACGGTGGCGCACACTTGGTAAGCTGCAGCCGTGCCTCTATGTGTCGCCGCGCGTCTCTCCCCGTGTGTCAGTACCTTCATACTTGCACACATCCTTACATGATTGTCAGGCTGACATTGTCAGTGAACCGGCTGCCCTCGGTACCCCGTGGGTGTTGGCACACCTGTCCATGCTGGGGCTTGCCCCCCCCCCCCCCCCCCAATTCAAAGCCAGAACCTCAAGTGAGCTGAGACGGTGGCTTTACTTTATCTCTTCTGCCAAGGTATCCGCTCCCCCCGCCCCCTCCGTCACCATAGTTACAGCTGCCATTTATGCTTCTCATTACTTTCCTCACCTGTGTGGAACAAAGCATGTTCTCCTGATTTAATGTTTGACGTTTTCCTGTAAGTCGGAGAGGAGTCGTCGGTACGTCTCTCAGTCTCACTTTCAAATGGCAGCAGTTACTTTTAGGTTTTATTTTACAAACAGTAATGCCTGCCATTAAAAAAATCGATTCTGTTGGCTAAGTGCATCGTGTTTGATGAACACTGCACAGCTGAATTTGAGCTCCTGTAATTAGAAGGGAAGGATCAAAATGCCAGGTTCTCGCGGAACTCTCCGGTGTCCCCGCACACACAAATGGCAAAGGACTAACAAGCATGGTGAGGATGAGGAGGATGCTCTCGTTAGCTGCCCTTACATTTTATTGCATCGGGTCGAGCTAAAGTGTATAATGCAGTGCCCAGTATCATGCTGAGGTGTTTTACTTCAGTTTCTGGAACTCATGTTAGAAGAGTAGGTCCAGGGGCGTGTGTCAGGATGAGCCTCGCAGACAGGGAGGTGCTGGAGCTCTGCTATGGTGGAAGCGCTCTGCTTGTTCATTCCCTCAGTCTTTACACAGAACACGGGCCCCTTGAACAAAATCCCAGCCCTGTCCCCTTTCTCGCTGCCCTCCTACCTGGTGCAACGCGATAATGATTTGAATCTTATTCCAAATCCTCTCCTCCAGACCAGCTCCCTGCGCTCCGTGCGGTTACCCTGTACGCCTCGTTTATGAGATCTGTGGAATTATGTCATTTCAGTAGAAAATTCTGCATTGTCATGCCCAAGCCCCCTCTCTCTTTCCATTTCACAGTTTGTGCACAAGCCCGGAATAGATTTTTAATCTCCAGCTTTGAGTATTGCCTCATCCCCTTGCCACTTCAAAAAATTGGTCTTCTAGATACTCTGAACAGAATTGTCTTGGTTCTCGTTGTCACGGATTCTCACGGCAGCCTTGTAAAGTGTGCATATTCCGAGTTTGTCTGAATTTTTGAATGCATGGAGGCTGATAAATCAGAAGTAGGAATGAAGCCAGCTGTTTGTCCGCAGGATGGCCACCACCATTGTTCACAGCGTCATCGTCATTACTGTCATCGCATTGCTGCCTCTGTCTGCTTCCCTCACACCAGTTGTTCTGCCGTCAAAGTGTATTTTTCAAGTACAATAGTCTTGAAAATTGGACTAATGGGTTTGGAAAACGGAAATGCTGCACAGTCTATGTCCAGTAATGGCAAACGGGGCAAATATCTCATGCACAAATAGGTTTATCATATTTACATGTGTATAAGTGCAGGAATATTTTTATATGACCGAATTAAATAATAGTCGTTTTCAGAAATGGCCATTTAGAAATTTCTCACATTTTTTTCAAGTTCAGAAAAGATGATTTTATCTCTAGCATTTGGTATCCTACATCCATATAATAGTTTTGGAGCAAACAGTATGCTGAATTTCATCCTGCAGCATGTCACAGAAACGCTCGGAGTGCACTGTCAGTTGGGCACCTGCTGGTTGGTTATCAACATGATTATGGAGAGAAGAGAAAAAAATCTTCAAGATCTCACAGACAGCTGTGGCTTCCTTGGCTGAGCTCAGTTGTAAGCAAATCCGGATGAGTCTGTGATTTGCTAGCCATGTACAGTAGTAGTTATGGAGCTGAGAAAGGTAACGTCCTTCAGTCGCTTCGGATAACTTCAGCTAATGTGCAACTCATACCAAGAGCAAAACCTCAAAAAGGACAGAGCTGCTATGGTCTTACAAGCGTGATTTGATTTGGTTTCCCTGGGATGCAGTAATCCTCTGTCTGCGTGGGTAAACATCACAGAGGGAAGGACACAGCATGCTGCCCCATCTGCAGGAAGACAGCCTACCCTGCCTCAGGAGACGTGCTGATGAAGTCCAGGCCTTTTGTAATGTGGAAGAATAAACCTGTATGGATGGATGGATGAAAGAAAGAAAGAATCATTACTAAAACAGTGGTGTATGATCCATAGTTTGAATTTCTGCCAGGGCTACTTTACTTGGTAACAGCATTTTTAATACAGACACTCCTCTACTTACGAATGAGATATGTTCTGAACGGCTGTTCGTAATTTGAAATGTTCGTAAGTCATTATTCAACATCCTTTTAAGGGTATACGCAAGTACGAAGATCTAGGATGCTGGGAGTACACACGCTACGCTGCTGCGCGACGGGAGTAGCGGCCAGAAGTCGTACTAGGTGGAACTGGCGTGCAGAAAAAAAAAAACTGATGTTGCGGACAGGAAACGGGAGCCCAATGAACATAATTTGGACTTACAGTCCTCTTCGTTCGTATGTCTGAAAGTTCGTAAGTTGAAAGGTACTAAAATAACATATGCTTAAAGAGTTATCCATTTAATAATGAATGGTAAGGCGTTAAACTAAATTAGCTGTAGCACTTAATTGGTTGTTACTAATTAGTTCCTACTTAATCATTAAAAAGCCTTTAAAGGTAAATATTAATTTGGCTTTATTGGGTTTATTTGAAGGGGAAAAATGAACAAAGTGTATGATCTTTTTTTACTGCCAAGAACTAGAACAAGAACTGTCCAGTACTCTCATTACTGTTCATTCTGTAGTTGGGTAAGGGAATGAACAGTTGTACTACGGTGCCTCTGCTCGGTGCCTGTTAGTGTGTTTGAGTATTGGTGCATTTTTTGTTTTCAAGCTATAATGAGATTGGGTTGATAGCTGATTTAAGCAGCAAAATAAGTGTTGTCTAGGGCCAGAACAGCGGGTTGACACAGGGACTAAGGAGCTGCTAGTCACAGATCTTTGAGAGCGGTGTCCTCCTTGTTAGGCACTAGG